GTGCTTGCCCGCCAGCGCCCGCCGTCTGTCCCGCCGCGGGTCAGGTCCAGCCCGGTCCAGCCGATGCGACGGCCGCGCCGCCAGCACAGCCAGGCGGGCGTATGTCGCTAGCGGGCAAGGGCCCCAGGTAGAAGGGTCAGGATTGTCGCTAGCGGGCATCGGAGGGAAAAGAGGGGATTGTGCGGGAGAAAAGGGATATTGTCGCTAGCGGGCAGCGCGACGGGTTGCCTGCCTCCACGGCGACTTGTGGTGCGGGTTCCGCTCACTCACACCTATCGTTAACGGACGCAGACAGGCACACGGCTCCGGCGTGCAGCTTCCGAGCTTTGCTTTTAAATATAAGGAGGCAAACCTAAACTAACAAACCTAATTTAGTACAGAAAATCAGTAATGGAACTGTCAATGCAGCGTTGCACTCCGCTATCGCTCCGCGCAACGCTTTGGCATGGGTCCTTGTTTTTCTGAGTAAGACTGGTGTCCTGTAGATGTTTTATAAAAAAACGTGTAATATATTACCACTGCGGTATCAAAAAATGAAACGAAGCAAACCTTCACTAACAAACCCAATTCAGAATATTCAGAATAAGAAAATATACTTATCAGTGAAGCGTTGCATTTGGCTATCGCTCCGTGCAACGCTTTGGCATGAGGACCTGAAGTTGTCCGAGACCTAGCCGACACATGTCGTTTCGTTACGGAGGGAAATGTCTCTTTCTTCCCTCGGCTTTCCCCGCGCGCTGCAAACGACAATCCGCGCCTTGGCCCTGCCGCAATCGACTCTCGACCCTTCTGACCTGGGGGCTTACTGCTACTTACTGCCGCAAACGACCATACACCGTCTCACGCACCTGACACCGCCCTGGGCTCGCCTGGGCCGTACTCCGCTGCGGCCCAGCGCCGTGGAGGTAGGCAACCCATCGCGCTGCCCGCTAGCGACAATTTCCCTTTTCTCCCGCACAATCCCCTCTTTTCCCTCCGATGCCCGCTAGCGACAATCCTGACCCTTCTACCTGGGACCCTTGCCCGCTAGCGACCACCTCCCAGCCAGGCCAACCCGCCAGCCGCCAGCCCCGCCTGTGCAGCGCGGCAACTGTAACCCCACGCGCGGGGCGGGCGCGGCACGCAAGATCGCATGC